TATAAAATATTATTTTTTCGTATTTTTTTTTGTATACTTTTTGAATGGCCATAAGATATACTTAAAGGTATTGCAAGGTTACCCATTCTTTACCGGACACCCTGTATATACAGCCATAGATAGTAGGTACTACCATGTTAACACCGAAACACTGAAGTCTGGTGAGAGTGCCAACGATAAAAATATACTTAAAATGATCAGTAGCGTGTTACGTTATATGACGTAGAGACTCCACGGCAAGTCGTATCCTTGGTTTAGCAGTGGCTGATGATGTCACACCCGAAATTTCATTTATTGAGCCACACAACTTCAATGAGATCCAGGGTTCGGCTCGAACGGAGCCTTGACCGGAGTATATACCTATACCATGGCGCCACAAAAAACTGACGTGAAACACAGCACACACACAACTACAGCGTTGTGTGATTGAGGTAACCAGAGGCCAATCATTCCCCTCCCAATCCTTAAATATTCAACGCTCTAAACCACAAAAGACTGGCAACGCACTCGTAACTCCTTTAATTGTTGCGGGTGTCAATGAGCGGTGCCGATTCCTTACCATCAGGCTTAAAAAACACTGCCAAACAGACCCTGAATCTAAGTAATATAATAAACTAGCGGCCCGCCCCCGCTTCGCACGGGTCCAACTATCTTGCTATCAAAGGGTAACTTTTTCCTAATCTTCCCCTCTACTTTTCTTCTCTAATTTTCTTTAATAAGAACCTTCTCCTTACAATAACGAACATAACAAAAAAAGAATTGGCAAAATTGGTCCAGGCGTTGTTGAGTTATGTGCTTATTACAACACATTTTGCTATCCATTTTTATATATAAAGATATATAGAAAAAGGCTTACTCTGTAGATCTTCAAGGTTATAGAAATCCTTATATTCGTATGCACAAGCTCGTACATAGGCTTGCGCGAGTCTCTTTCCACAGAACTGGATCATGCCACGGGAATCGTCTTCATCAGCAGATGCCGATAGTACAATGCTGCATAGTACGAGGATACAGAGGAACTTCATTTTGATGCTGTAGGGAAAATGGAAATCAAATAAAGATTGTTAGTAAAAACAATATTTAATGTAGGTAAAAACAATATAAAATTAGTAAAAAAATATAAGGATTATTTTTGGTAGTCTAAAATATTGGGACAGTGCAGAGTATTATTTTTGGAGGAGTTTATTTTGTTAAATTAATAAGATCGATATTGAAAACTTTTTTAAAATTAATAAACGATAACTTTTTCGATTCTAGTTACATTTGACGTTACTTATTTAGTAACTGTATATGCCACTATACGCAAGCTATGTGCATCCATAATGCGGCTATTGAGGGTCAGTCCTAACAGTATACTAGCTATACTAGCAGACAAAATTGAAGACCCGTTTATTAGACACGGGGCAAGTAGACTTGTGCGTCCTGATGTCCATGTCAATAATTGATAAATATTAACTAATGTTTTTCACTTATCATTAGGATAAGAAGTAACAAACACTTATCACAGATCTTTGGTCACAAATAATGGATTTAATTTAATTAATTTTAATTGATATATATAACTAGCTACTCTCGCGCGGTTTCACCATTTGATTGTAGCGTGATGTTTTAAAGCCTATAACACTCAGGAACATTGTAGCTATCTATCAGTGAAAGAATTTTGGCAATCCGACCAGCGGTTCCAAAGATTACCCCCTACATACAAAACTTACAAACTTACAAATTTTACCTCTTTATAATATTAGTATAGATTATGTTTGTGGTGGAGTGAGAACGAATAGAAGCAAGTTTATACTCACAGTAGTATTCTCCCACAAGAACACTGAAAGAAAGTAGAAGGTTCACAGAAGGAACAGTTACACAAGTAAAAGCATAGAAGCACAAATACAGATGAAATAAGAAACAAAAAAACGTCTGTTACATTGAATAGTTACTATCCGCTTTCTGGAAGTTTTCCAAGAGATTGAACAAATAAAACAAACACGTTATAAACAAAATTAGTGCGCAAAATAAATGATGGATGCCTTTTCTCGCTTAGATAGCGGGTCTTGACCATAGATAAGAGTAAATACTAAGAATAGAAGTAGGTACTTAATTACATCGCGTCATAAGTGCCGTAAAAAATAAAAATATAATGTTGTTATTTATTTTGAATACTAGCTTCGCCCGCGACTTCTCACGCATAAACATAGTCTGGCCATATCAAATCAAATCAAATCAAATTCTTTATTTCAAATAGACCAAAAAAGGCACTTTTGAACGTCAAGCAAAAAAGATATCATAAGGTTTAACTTTATGTGTCAGTCTGTCCGTCTGTCCTCTAGTGAAGCTATTTGCTCGTTCCAAAGTGTAGATTCCTATGGAGAAGAACGAGCAAGAAACTCCATTGTTACTCTTTTTCAATCACTTTTTACAATACATTGTTACATAATTTAGATAGCTCCATTATGTGAGAACAGTGTAACACTAGTGTTTAACCAAAGTATCCGAAAAAGAAATAACCCTCAGGGACAGCAACTTTAGACAGTCTCGAGTTGACCAGTCCCAATAGGCGGCGTCCGTTCACGAACATGACACGTACACCAGCACCGCCCAACTCAACCATATTATAGGGAACCGAGCGGTCCAGTGCCCGTGCCACCGCCAATGAGACTCCTGAGTGAGCATGACAACTCCCAACTGACACAAGTACCAATATACTATAAGTCTATAAGTCTAACTCAATTATAATAAGTTACAGGGCTCTCACATTTACAAAAATCCAGTTTATCAACAATCAACAACATGGTGAATAATTTAATAATTGAGATCAAAATTCCTCTTAACCTTAACAATTTTTATCCTGTGCAGTCAAACCAGCCACCCTCCAAGCATTTTTATCTTCTATATAATCATTTAGTTTGTAGTATGCTTTCCTACATAATACTTTCTTTATACATAATTTAAATTTACTTTCATTAAGATTTTGTATTTCAGTTGGGATTTTATTATAACATTTAACACATAATCCCATGAACGACTTATGCACTTTTGCTAATCTAAATAAAGGCTGACTTAATCTATTTCTATGTCTAGTAAGATAGTCATGCTTGTCAGATACTTTTACAAATAGCTGTAGGTTTTTCCTAACATACATAATGTTTTCATAAATATATTGACATGGTACGGTCATAATGTTGATCTCCTTAAACTTTTCTCTGAGAGATTCGCGACGACCTAAGTTATAGATAGCTCTGACTGCACGCTTTTGTAAGATAAAGATAGACTCAACGTCGGATGCCTGTCCCCACAACAGAATTCCATACGACATGATGCTGTGAAAGTAGCTAAAGTACACTAGTCGTGCCGTGCCTACGTCGGTTAGCTGACGGATCTTCCAGACAGCATAAGCTGCCGAGCTCAACCGCCCTGCTAGAGATCTAATGTGGGGCCCCCATTGCAGCTTGTCGTCTACAGTAATCCCCAAGAATGTGGTCTCCTTTACAAATTCCAGTTTCTGACCATTTAATAATATATCATCGCATACGTTACTTTTAACATTTGGCAAAATAAATCTAATGCATTTCGTCTTTTTATCATTAAGTACTAAGTTGTTTTTTATGAACCAATTATGAACTTTCGTTAAGGCATTATTCACTTCGTCATAGTTATTTGATCGTCTATTTAATTTAAAAATCAAGGATGTGTCATCAGCGAATAATACCATATGCGGTTCACTTTGGAATAAATGGGGCAGGTCATTGACATAAACCAAAAATAGGAATGGACCCAATATTGAGCCCTGCGGTACGCCCATAGATACGCTAGCACCCTGGGAGTTTACTCTGTTTACTTGTACTGTAAGAAGTCTTTCTAGAAGGTATGATTTTAATAAATTTAGGGATACCCCCCGAATGCCGTAGTGTTGCAGCTTCAGTAATAGCGTTTCGTGCTCAACACAGTCAAAAGCCTTCGAAAGATCGCAAAATATTCCGATGGCATCCTGTGCTTTTTCCCACGATTTGAAAACTTGTTTTATAAGCGATACTCCTGCGTCCGTTGGAAAACCGACCAGCGGTTCTAAAGATTACCCGTTACATACTAACTTAAAAATTATACCTCTTTGTACTATAAGTATAGACAATGACTTACTCGCTTATATTGAATGTACAGGTCTACTGGTCCCTTGATGGTACTTAAGCAATCGGCGCCGCACATGGACACCCGTAACAAAGGAGGAGTTACGAGTGCGTTGCCGTTGCTGTTTGCAGATTAGAGTTTAGGATATTTAGAGATTGGAGAGGAAGAAGAATTGGACCTCCAGTAACCTGAATCACACGATGCAACACCGGTCGAGCTCACCGATTCGTCCCAAGCATGGATCTCCTACACTTAGCCTGTCCATTACCGATTCTAAAGTACCATTTAAAAACCACTGGATATCAACTGGGCCAACATACATACCTTATATTAGCATAAATTTATTTAAACTCTCTTTTTTAAATTTAGCTTTACATGTTCTAAGTTTCAAGTAAGCCTATTACATAATTACTGGTCATGGGTTCGCTTCCCGCACGGATTTTTTCCGGGTCTAGGTATAATGTGTATGTGAAATTACCGTAACCAATATTCTTAACACAATAATATTATACGACTTCTGAACATTTGTCTGCCTCACTGCTGTTGTACCCTCTGTTTATTTATAGTGAAGCCAAAGCGCTGTAAATTTAGCTATAAGTTAATATTGTTAATCTCATTTTAAGTGAACCATTGTTCTTATGAGAAATAAAGTTTTTTAAACCTAAATTGTATGTTTGTTGTACCTACGAAACTGAAGCAAATCCTGATTGCGACACATCAGGATTTGCTTCAGTTTTATTTAAAAAAAGAACAAGAAGTTTTTGTTCACAATTTTTAATAAAAATAGTAAACTTAATACAAAATTCATATTCTTCAATATTTCGTAGACGTTACTATATATTATGTATAATAAACCTTCCTCTTTACTCACTTCAGAAAACAAAACCGCATCTAAATCCGTTGCGCAGTTTTGCAGATTTAAGCATACTTAGGGTTAAAGAGACAGAGAAAGCGACTTTGTTTTAGTATGTAGTTACTGATGTTTGAACATATTTTATTAAACACATCTGACTAAGATATTATTATCTTGAAGAGCCTTCCCTTAAGGACAGTAGCTGACAAAATCTTTAACATGGCACGGCTTGGCGCAGCACTGGTCAGCTAAAGTGGTCGATGTGTCTCTCTTCGCCAGTTGCCCCTTCCACTCATGGTGATGATCATGGCCATGCTGGTGATCATGTTGGTGATTATGCTGATGATCCGGCTGGTGATTGTGTTGGTGGTGATCTGTAAAATGTAAACGCTTCAGTTTCAGGTACTTTTAGCTGCACGGAACGAGTCTTTGTGTGATGCACAAATTGTTTTCCGGGCATGGGTGAGATGTGTTTGTAATCGCATCCATGTGCGTTAGAAAAATTAAAAATCAAAACAGTTGTAATTTAGGGTGGCATTTTGAACGAGGGACATATTGAAGGCCCCGGTTCTGGTGCTCAAATAATGCAACATTTTCCACAAGGTCAATATGGAAATCTTAAGAAAAACAGTGTTTACTTCTCCATGCAAAATGATCAATCAGCTATAGGGAAATAAATTTATTTTTGAGATTTGACGTTAGCCACCAAAATCGGCTCCTTAAATATGACCCTCGTTCAAAATGACCCCCTGTATGTTAGCTATTAAGCGAAATTTATCTGGACAGTTTTTAAAATGACTTTAATTGATAATAACACCTCGATTTTATGTAGCACATTGGTTTATTGCTGTGTAATAAATATTTTCACATGTCAGAACCGACAAAATGATGTAACAAAGAAATGAATTGTTAAACTGATTTAAAAAGAGTAACCATGGAGTTACCTACTCGTCCTTTTTTTTTCCATTTTTTGCTTGACGTTCATATGTGCCTGCTGTGGTCTAATTGAAATAAATGATTTTGACTTTGAATTATAACGAAATGATTAAACTGTTACCAACCAAAATAGTTTTCACGGAACCAGGTATCAAACTCAAGTAGGTCTAACACTGACAAACTCAATAGCAAAAATATACCATATAAAACATAGAGTTCCTTACGCTGTATGTGTTGAAGGTTGAAGAAATCCAGATCTCCGTCTTCACAAACACGTTTAACAGCCCTGGCGAGTTCAGCTCCGCAGACCTGGATCATTCTGCCGCGAGGATGCTCTTCAGCAGACGAAAGTGCAATAGTGCACAGTACGAGGATACAGAATATCTTCATTTTGATTCTGTTGGGAAGATGGAGTTTAAATACATTTTTTGTGGAAGTGGAAGGACTAATTTCTGTAGCGTTGGCTTAAGTAGTAGTTTTAAGAGACATTACCATTTTTGGTCTTATACAAAATATCGAAAGTGCACTCGAAGTAAATGTTCGAATAAAATTTTAGATGCAATAAAGCCCTAGTTATGAAATTTTGCACAAAGAAGTGTGTGAGTGCCATGCTTATATGTATATGCCAGCCGTTAATGAGCTGGCTTGCCCGTATTGATACAACGGCCTAAAAGAAAACCAGTGTGAAACAACCATAGTGTTGCTACGCCTTGTGAGTGAGGTTATCGGAGGCCCAATCCTTCCCCTTCCCCAATCCCTCCCCAATCCCTAAATCTTGCAAAGGCCGGCAACGCACTCGTAACTCCTCCTGCTGTTGCGGGTATCCATGGGCAGCACTGATTGCTTACCATCAGGTAATCCACTGCTCGTTAGCCGACCTATCACATAGAAAAAAAGAATTGTGTTAGAGCCATGTTTCGGCATAAATGTGCTGGCTTGACCGTAGTATACCAAGGTCTCACAGAAGGCATGAAACAATGCTTTCAGAGCCCTAATTCACCGCTCCTCATTCCCCAAGGACGGCGTCGATTGCTTACCATATTAAGTGACCAGTCCGCTCGTTTATGGCAAGTGCCTATCCCACCAAAAGTCTTGGCAAAAATTCGGTACAGAATATAATAATAAACATAACACCATTTGTTCCCGATACGGCAAATGTAAAACATGATTAGACACATACGCACTTGTAATCTCTTTTAAGACCTATTAACCTAATGGAAAACCCAAAAAGCAAAACAGAATAAAAATTAAAATCAATGGACTTACTCGTCAAATCTCCAGCTCAATTGCAGTAACACTGTCCCAGGGACCGAAGGAGCATCGTTTAAATACTTAGGTCTGATAATTGTGTCCGCATCCACTGGACGAAAACAGGATGCTTGCATTAACCCATTGCTAGTCGGCTTTAGTACATAATTGCTTATTAGCATCCGTAATGATCCCTTGGGATTCAGTTTAAGATAAGTGGCTTTATGTGTGTGAAAGTCTTTCTTTCAAGTGTGCTGATCGGAGGTAAAGACTTTTTATTGTCGTGTTGACTGAACATCACCATCATCACCACAGCGTTGTGTTTGCCGCATGATTGAGGTTACCGGAGGCCCAATACTTCCTCTACCCCAATCCTTCCCTAAATCCTTAATCCCCAAAAGGTCGGCGACGGACTCGTTGGGTGTCCATGGGCGGCGCCGATTGCTTACCATCATGTAATCCGTCTGCTCGTTTGCCGACTTATACCATAAAAAAAAACTTTATTCATTGTTAGTACTAGTAAAAAAAGTTTGGAATACTGTTATAGTATATATGTTTTAGTCGCTTTTCCTTCTTATCTGTTAGGCTATAATTCTTATTATTATTGACGACGATTTATGTTTGAATTAGCATCAGGCTTAGTAAAATATACCAAGTCCAAATAGTCGATGTTCATCGAGATTAAAGTTCTTGTTATTGCAAGCTGCTTAGAAAATTAATTAAAAATAAATTATTTTAAGCCGAAAATAATTATTGACCACAAAATGTTTGATGTGGCGCTCGGCGGCAGGTGCGGCGGCGGCTCGTGCCGCGTCACGCTCGCTTCGCTTGCTCGCGCATATTTTAAGAGGAGGCGGGTAAGTAAGTCCATATACATACACCGGTGGCATGGCAGACTGTTATCACACTACTGACACTAATAAAATGAGTTAACAACTTTCTCATAGCATTAGGAACTGTGTCCAGTTGCCGGGGTCGGGGGCCTCGGCCTGCAGCAGGAGAACGAATGGGAGGTTTTTAGTCAGTAAGAGAGACACTGCCTCTCGCCATACTCGAAGAGCTTGGCGAGAGAAGATTATCTGTCCACAAAGAAAGGAAGATGCCCAGAGGAAGACTATAAATTGTTCGTTATTTGTGAACCATACTTGACAAACACAGTTTTCTTTGGGAAATTTCTCATCATAGTTCTTTAGTGTCTTTAGTCAATGTGAATTTGATATACCTTCTTGTAACCATCTCCAGCCTTTTTTGTCACCATCAAATATTTTCTCTTTTTAAGGAACACAAAGTTGAAAATAAATGAAAGTCAGGAAAAATAAAACCAAAATATTAACCCTAGAGACTAGTTCGATTTTATTACTTATAAAAAAGTATTGTTATTAAGAAAAATATTATAAATAAGTACATTTTTGTTCCTTATCGTCAGTTATAATAAGAGTTTCTTAGCATTATAGAAAACGAAGACATTATTTAATTCTAAAAAGTCAAAGATTAAAATGAGCTTTAGGAGTAGAAAGACATATTAAGGCAAAGATTAAAGAGAAATCCAGGCCTTCATGAAGATAGTAGTTGATATTCTTTTATAAGATCCTCCAAAAGTCTCAATCTCCCTCTTTCTCCCTCTCAGTTCCTTAGTTTAGCCGTACTGCTGAGCATTGGCAACGGCAGCTACGCATTGGTTGAAGACGTTGACGTAGCTGAAGGGCAGATCTCCAACGCAGCCATAACCTCCACGCTTATGGATGGCCATGTAGTCATAGCAGTCAACGCGGCCATCACCATTGCAGTCCTGGAGGAAATAAATGTTGGTTAGAATAGAAAACAGAGTTAGTCTAGGAGAGGCCCAATCCTATCCATCCCTCCGCAATCACTAAATCTTCGAAACCCTAATACTCAAAAGGCTTGCAACGCACATCTCTGGTGTTGTGGGTGTGTATAGGCGGTGTTGTGGGTGTCAATACGCTCGTTAGCCGACTATATCGCATAAAAAATCTCTTATAGCTAATTAGTGGACCGCCCTTGCTTCGCACGGTTGTCCGACTACCAGGATGGTGTCAGCCATTTTTTTTTATTAGCGAAGGGTATATTTAAGTAAGCCACGCGTATGTCTAACAGAATTTGACGAAATATTCATCTTGTGTTTTCATCAACACGAAACATTTTGCCAACTTTAACTTGTCACGATTATTTTACTATTTAAGAGCATTTCGTTGTAAGTAGTTCCATTATTTTCTTACTCGGCAACCGATTCAATACTTTTCTAAAATATCAAAAAATGTAAACGTTCTATGAAAGAATTTAAAAATGAGACGTTATAACTTTTATTATCTTATGCGTTCCCAAGTTAAAATTTTTTTGGACGATGAAAACTACCTAGGCCTGTCAATAGTAATGGTCATAAAAAACTTAAAATGGAAGGTTCTATTTTAATTATGTAGTCAAGTTGGCAACACAGTTCTACTGGACTATTAAGTACATTAAAGTGGCCTATTGTGTTTGCAAGTCACTAAACTTGAGTCACGACTACTTTATTTAAAAGATTACCATAATCCATGTGTAATTTTAAAGTTATTATTGTTTTGTAAGCACCCAAGCACTTATTCGAATGACCTCATGTTGTCGCCATATGCAAATGGCTCCTTGGCGAGACAATGTCAATCAGATTTACATAGTTATATTTTACGCCTACAGATTTGTTAGGAGGTCTATGTAAGATAGGTATGTACAAAAAGTATGTCTATCTATGTATATCTATGAATAGGTATGTCTGTTTCATGGTGCACTTATTTTTGGAAAGAATGGATTGGTTTAATAGGTTTTTAAGTTACAGATTTGGAAAATTGAAGTGTTTTTAAATGAGTTTGAGATGATGCTGATGATGACGATGTGTAACGGATTGGGTTTCCGCACGGAACAAATCTGTGTGATCTACAAATTTTTGTCTAGGTATGTGAAATTGTACGCATAAGAGGCAATCTTGCAATACAAGTTTGCAGAATACTGATTCATCATCTTCCTGCCCTTGTCCCGTTTTATTTGGGGTCGGCGCAATATGTATTTTTTTCTTCCATTCTGTCCTGTCACCCGTCACTCTATCACTAACTCCTCTGTCTTCCATATCACTTCTCACACAATCCATCCATATTTTCTTTGGTCTTCCTCTCCCTCTCCATCCATCCACATTTTTAGAATACTGATTATTGGGGCTAAATTCATCGTTACCTAATTCTATTAATTGCTGAATCAAGTACTAGTTACACTACTATTAAGCTTACCTGAGCGAATTTCCTCATGTATCCTTGGACAGTGAGGGCAGCACAGTAGGGGTCATTTGTGCAGTTCGGGTAGGCTGTAAAACAAAAAACAAGTATATGACCAAAGTCCACTATGCATGACTATTTTAAAATATCAGAATGTCTATCTAGGTCCCTGTAGACTTCAGATGTCAGAAGGGTTGATGATTGGCCTAAAAATAATGATGATAAAGAATCTTCGTTGTACATTGCGTGGTCTTTGCATTACAGCGCCGTTCGAAATTGCAATAAGGTCTTTTTTTCTCATGAATTTTTTATCTCATAGTATGGCAAACGAGCTGTCTGATTACCTGATGGTAAGCAATCAGCGCCGTTCATGGGATATTCGCAATTCTAGAAGAGTTTTGGGTTAGAGGGTGTGTTGTTGGCCTTTTGGTGATTAGGGTTTCGGGGATTTAGGGATAGGGTTAGAAGAGGGAGGGAAAAAATTGGGCCCCCGGCCATTCATATCGTAAAAAAACTTGTTTTAACGAAAAAGCTGTTCTTAAATTGATTCCAATTTTATTTATTGATTTCGTGGCACGCGTGTTTATACCAATGATAGTATTAATCAAGGACTGTTATTCAATGTGGACAATCAGGTTTAGAATTTAACATTAACATAATTGATCTTATTAACATAATTAGTTAAGTTAGTCTTGTGTGATTTATTTTATTAGATAATGTTAAAATTGACAGACGTGCGAATTTATTGGACAGGTTTATGTAATAATGAAGATGAGATTATTATATTATTGGGTTCCGTTAGCGGCTTCGCCCGCAGTACAAGAATAATTAGTCTAAACATATATAGACTATATTTTATTCTTTTATTCTAGACTATAGTCTATTTTTGGGGTTACGCATGCAAGAACAACGATGTTACGCTGCCCCGGTAAAAAATATTACTTACTATCGTTTTAGACATTGATCAATTTAGCACGAGCGATATTTTAATTTTGAAGCGATTTTGAGCTTTAAATTTTGTTAAACTCACGCTATTAATCTTTAATTGAAAAAATCTTCAAACAATTTTTTTCTTACCATCAGGTGCATCAGGCGACTGTCCATTAACAGTAGGTTTCCCAGCATCAGCCCAATAGGCCCAAGTGATGTGGAAGAGGCCGCAATGGTCTCCATCGCACTGGATCCCCTGCTTGCAACCTGACACAGCCTGGCAGATGCAGCCCAGACACACCTCTGTTACTGGCTGAGATTGAGGCGAGCCCACCAGATGTGCTGGAAATAGAAAATGAATAATTTAATTAGGATTTTTTTGAATATTACTGAAATCTGAGTTTGAAAAACTGCAATAACGATGTTATTAAAAAGTGTGTAATGTCGTGTTTAAAATATCGAAATTTGCTTAGTATAATGTTAACCAGTTGATAAAATCATTAAACAATAATATTACTAGAACAAAAAAAAACTATAGAAAGAAATCCTCAGCTATCAAGAAACGTACCACCTATACAGTTCGAAAAAAGAAAAAATCGCATGAACCATAAACTCAAATTCGCGCGCTTTTTATAACAAACAAATAAATCAATGAAGGAGGTTTTATGTAGATGTGAAAATTCCTGATCCACGGTGACATGGCTTTGTATGGTGATGACGAAATGTGTAGGTATATCGCAGGTACGTACATATGTAAATATGACCGCAGTATGTAAGTTATGAATCCTGTTTACGGTCAAGGTACTGGTTTGTAGCTGGACCTTGCATGTATGTATGATTTGCGATTTGTTTGTATAAAGTGACCCTTAATGGTTTGGTAATTGACAAAAATAAACTTTGAACATGTTTGAGAAAGTTTCTTTTAATTTTGTGTATTTAGATTTTTAAATACTTAGTATTTAAGCAGTGCAGTGGTGCTATTTCAAAATCGGTGTCTGTGGTATCGATTTTATTTTGTAATGTCGAGTCATCGTAACAATCCTTTTAATCGATGCTGCCCTTTTATATTAAGGTTTAGGTATACTTAGTAACAGACAGAAATAAAGGATATGTTGCGAGAAAAAGCGCCGTAAGTACTTAGTTTTAAACAATGATATTAGGTATAAGTAAAAAGGTGTAGATAGGTCATAAGCGCTCAGCAAGTGATACATTAAAATGTGGCTTTTTCACCTCAGCCACACTTTTTCATATTTGTCTCTTTTTCACTCGCGATTATTGAATCATGCCATCCCATGCACGTGCATCAGTGCGCCGTTTTTGAAAATCGAATGTTGTTTATGTAACCTATCTACACCATTTTACTTATAATATCATTGGTTTTTAAACATGTACCAAAATAGGTACTAAACATTCTTTGTTTCTAATTCAAATCATATCCATTGCTTCTCACACTTTTTCTGTCACGTCTTTTGTTTACATTTTTACCAAGAACTTACTTAACTTTTGTTACCGAAATAATGCTCGGGTTTTTCGTTACACCTTTTTTTTGTATTACTTAGGTAATAGCACATCCGTGTACAAAATTACCGCGTATAAATTAAAATGAATTATTATTTCAACTGTTTGTTACAAGTAACAAATACAGCACGATTTTCACTGAATAAGACTTATTCAGAGCAGTATTTTCGCCGAGGGTAGCCGCCAAAAAGCGTGCAAGTGTAGGGGCAGAAATGGATGTCAAAAAAAAATTACAAGCACCCATGATCTGACTAAAAAATTTTTAACATATAAAACGAATAGAGAATGTAATTTTGTTTAACCGAGCAAAAGGCTAGTTAGGTCCCCGTGTATAAATAATGTTAAGCAATTAGATAAGTGTGATGATAAAAAAATTCAACGCCATTGTTCTCAAAATGCGTCGGTGGGATGTCATCAAGAAAAACAAATTGGGTAATCACTTCAAAATGGATTTAAATGTCGAGGTGAAGGTCGCTTGAGGTCGTTCCTTAGTAGTTCGACTAAATATTCGTTATCTATATACATAAGCGTTGCGTTATGAAATATTTTTTATTTGGCAGACTAAATTATGTAATCTAGTTTTGATTTTTTTCACTTTTGAGTGCAGATTTTGTTCTGAAGATGTGATAAATACGCATATGTGGTATCCATGTGGTATGTCACCTCTTGCCATTTTTTGTTTAAAGTTTCGGCTGCTCGATCGGTGCGATATCACGATCTCAAAGAAAACCGGCGTGAAACAACCACAGCGTTGTGTTTTGCCTTGTGAATGAGCTTACCGGAAGCCCAACCCTCCCCTTCCCACATCCCTTCCACAATCCCAAAATGTCCGAAACCCTTATCCCCAAAATACATCTGTGGTTGCAGTTGTCTATTGCTTACCATCATACACCAACCCAATACGATCGCCGTTTTATTTATCACATAAAAAATACAAATTACCTATAAGTAAATATAGCACAAATATTCTACCTTTTTCAAACAGTATTATATTCCACCTTGTCGCAACAATATCAAACAAATAAATATTGTAAACCAGAAAATAAACATGAAATATATCTACTTATACCTACTAATAACAGAAAAATTTTTCATTAAATAGTTATAAGCTGTGAATCTGAATGCGGAAATAAACCTTTAATATTTGTATATTCATCTTCGACATTGACCTATTAGGTAGCAATAGATATTAGCCTAGGTCCTATTACGGAAGTTTTTATCGCATACTAGCGAGCCGCCCCGGCTTCGCATGGATGTACTGCTGATACTAAATTTCTCCTCTATTTATTGGATGCTATTATATTTACATATACACCTACTTACATACCTTCCTCTTTAATCACTTGTACCTATGTATTAATAATCCGCATCCAAGTTCATTGTGAAGTTTTAAAAATTTAAGCATACAGCTACATTTTTTTTTATGGGATAAGTCGGCAAACGAGCATACGCATTACCTCATGGTAAGCAATCGGCGCCGCCCATGGACACCCGCAACACCAAAGGAGTTACGAGTGCGTTGCCGGCCTTTTGGGGATAGGGGTTGCGGATATAAGGATTGGGAAGGGATAGGGGAAGGGGAGGGATTGGGCCTCCGGTAACCTCACTCACACGGCGAAACACAACGCTGTGGGTTGTTTCACGCCGGTATTCTGTGAGGCCGTAGTATCACTCCGGTCGAGCAGACTAATCGTGCCGAAGCTTAATATTATTCAATAAACAATGCGACTTAGTAATATACAATGTGCTTAGTGATGTAATTTTATCCGAGTCATCGATTCTTATAAGTTGCAAATGCTTAAGTACAAAGCACAAAGGATTTTGAACTTAATATACTTAATCACAATCATCGTAAAGTTCAAGATCGAATGTCAATCGTGTTTCCTATATGCGATAATATGGTGTTATAAATAATTTATTTTCCTGTTTAGTGGGTGTGGTTATTTTGGAATGTTGACAATTTCTGCACTGGCCAGATGGCAGCACTGGTGATCCTGTCAGTTACAAAAGCGACGTTCTTTGAGGTGTAATCAGGGATAATATGGTTAACGTTGTATCATTGTATCATTCGACGTTTCAATACAATAAAACATAAATTAAAAATAAGTATACTTTATTCATCGATCGATCGATACACTGAATTTAAGACATTTTTAAGAAATAAGTAAACTGTTTGACGCTAATAAAACACGACGTCATAACTCAGTTTTTTATAAAAAAAACATAGGAAAGTATCGTTTTTGACATTTGGATTAAATGTATTGAATTTGACTAGTTGGAAAATACCGTATTGTCTCGATGGATCGTGGAAATAAAACTGACATTATAAAGCTAAAGAGTTTGTTTGTTTGACCGCACTAATCTCCGAAAAAACTGGTTGGAATTGAACGATTGCTTTTGTGTTGGATAGTACATTTATCGAGGAAGACTTTAGTCTTACACACGATCACGCTACGGTCTGTAAGAACTGAGCAGGAGGTTAGACCGCGCGTTATTATTAAACAAGACTTTTTCGTCCAAGTAATCTGTAACACAACAAATCTGTTACATAAATAAAGCGTAGGTAAGGAGGTATACTCGTAATATCCGCATATCGATGTCCGCATAAAAAGCTGAATAAGAAATTACATTCATAAATCATGAATAACCTATAATGCAGTAACTAGAGCCAACATCGAGTTAATATCTTGCTTGTTGCATTGTTTATTTATACTGTGGATAATGACGTCACGTTAATCGCATTTGACCTATTCTAGCCTTTTGACATTCTACACACGGATATCAGTGATGTCATGTCTAGAAGGTGCAGGGAATACGTGCGTGGATCATGGACGTAGCTATGGTAACTATAGGCACTGAATTCTATTTTTAAACTTTAAATCGTGGTAATTCGAGACATAATAGAACAACAATTTTAATGGATTAAGCCGTGACGGATTTTATAGTGTCCTTGAAAATATGGAAGACCCAAGGAGTGCATTGGAAAGGTCATTTGCAAACTTTTTAGTTTAGAGTTCGAGGTTAATGAACGAAGGAAATGAAACCGCAACCAATTATAGATCACGATAGATCGTTCTACTCGTATCTATATTGAACTTTTTTATTACATACTAGCTATTGCTCGCCACACCGTTCGAGCGGAATAGTGGCTTCCTGCAGATTTTTGGTATAAAAACTATCCTATGTCCTTTCTCGAGTTCCAAAATTGAGGTTTGGGCTTGCCAGTCAATATTAAACTAGCATGTGATTAATTGTCTAAAAGAAGTAACCAGCATTAGTGTCATGGTGATCCCCCTCGCTTCTTATGAGGACGAGGAGGGTTCAAATCACGACATGGGTACCAATACGCCGATGTGGACAGTTACACCTGCCTATTTAGACACCATTACCGTACGGTGAAGGATAACATCGTCAGTAAATCTGCACTGATTTCAAATTCCATATTAAGTATAAGTTTGAAAGTGCGGGATTCTTTGCTCAGCTGTGTGCCAGTGATTATGTGATGAAAAAACCTTGCAACTACAACATCATATCATATCTTTCCGCCTATACCTAAGTGGTCACCAGGCTTGTTCAAGGTAGACTGACGATTTCAAACTTAGAAACAAAATTAGAAATTATAAAGTCTAGTTTTTCCACGATGTTTTCCTTCACCGTATGTCAGTGGTGTCTTAACAATATGTCATAGAAAGTCTCATTGGTACTTAAAGGTTTCGCACCCGCACATGCTTGAGAATGCATACAGAAACGGGCGCTTTAACCTCTGGACCTCCACGACACGTTAGTATAAACAAACAACAATACTTTTATGTGTTTTATATTGC